CACAATGAGATGGGACAGGACCAGAAGGTGGTTCTTAAAGAGACAGAGGACAATTTCAAGGCGTTTAGAAGAGGAAGTGATGAGAAAATATGTTTATTTTCTATTTAAACATAAAAATAGCATTTTAATAACAGCTAAATGTGACATAGATGATTTATTATGGTTTAGTATTTAAATATATGCCTGAGAAACACATAATATTGGCCCTTTAAAAACCTTAACAAGGAAGCATAAAAGCAGGTGGTTCAGTGTGAGGAAGAAGAGCCAACAGSTCGGTGTGAGGCTTTGAAAATGTTCTGCAAGGAAACCTTGGGGTCAAGATCTTCATATGGACATAACGTCAGCATAAACACTGCTGATCAGTTATCTTTGAGKAATGGCTCCTTTTTACGGAGAAAACATGATTCCTTCATGGCAACYGCACAGTTAAGACCCTCAGGCACTCCTGGGAACAAATTCTCAAAGGCCAAAACATTTTATCACATGATAGGTTCATGAGTTTTGATCATGAAATATTGACAAATTTAAAATACATTAAAAAGTGTTTCAGTTCAACAGAACATTCACTGAGTTAATAAGTGATTTTATAAGTAAAATCCTTTCTTACATGTTTGTTTCATGTAAAAGAAATAGTTTTTATTTTGTTTAGTACAGGATTGATAAAACTAAACATTAGTGACAAAAAACAAATGTAAAGTTTAAAAGAAAATAAAACAATCTTGCTTGCAGGAAGGCTCTAAGGTAGTGAATGATTTACAGCAGATCTCAAACTTGCACAAATGATTTGGCAGTTATTTTATGGTGGATGCCCTTAATCTTGAACCTGCAGCCTCAGGATCATGAGATCACTCCAGATCTCATAATGGGGCATTTTGAGCCACAGCTCGAAGCTGCGGGGGGCTGCGAGGTTCAAGCTGTGGGGTCAAATGGAGAAACTACCCAGGCGGTCATAATTTCATGGCTGGTGTCAGTAAGTGGTTTTGTTTGGCCACTTGGYGGCAGCAGACAAACTATGTTTATGTGGACATGGGTAATCAGAATAAACAGCCAATCAGAATAAATGCGTCATGTAAACGCCCCAATCAGAATATTCTGATCTGATTCAGTTTGACTGAAATTAATTTGTAATCTAAAGGAGAGGAGGGGGGTTTATGCTGATTGATAATACGAACATACGAACAGTGTGCATGTCAACATTCAGATCATGTTCTGCTGGTTGTGAAAAACTGACCTGACTGCACTCAGTCAGCCTGAGGTATTTCCACTTGGCTAGATGTTAAAATACCAGGGAAGCAAAACTGGTCGGTTAGTGATACAACATTACTGTTAGAAACTTTGAAAGAGCTCAAAGTTACAGATTGCCTTGATGGTTGAAAYCGTAGGACTGCAGTAGGGRTGCATGATATATCATCTGAGSATCGTCATCGCGATGTACATGCATGCAATAGTCACATCGCAGGTCAAAATTAAATCATGTGAATCATAATTCACTGAGCAGCYTTTATTACAGCACCTGCAGCTATGAGGTGCAGTTTGTAAAGTTACAGTCAAAAATTACCAATATTTTGCTTTATTTAGACTTTCATAAAAAATAAATAAAAGGGATTTATTTTACAAAGTCAGATTTTCACCATGTTATTCAAACATTTATAAATGTCATAGTTTACAAACTAAATATTTAACTTCCAAATTAAATATTTAGTTAACAAGGTAAATATTTAGGTCTAAATTAAGTATTTAGTTTGCTAACGAAACATTTATTTTGGATCTAAATGTATGGTGACGTGTTCAATACTTATTTTACCCGCTGTATTTAGTTA